GGGACCAAGGGGATCAAATTCCAGCTTTCCTGATGCTGACACGGGATGGGGGAGATGTGGATTCAGTGGGTCTCCCCCACTCCAAGTGCGCTGACCATCCACCGAGGTTTGATCGGGGGGGGGGGGTCTCTCTTCTTCACATTGTTCCACTTGGTACAAACAATTAAATATTCCTTGATGCCGGGATTTCAACCTGACTGTCAGAATCACTAGCATCTAGAGTCCGTCCGTCTCTCTCTCTCTCATTCTCTGGGTCTTTTGGGAGGGGGCAGAAAAGTTTCAAAGGTCTCAATTTCCTCCAAGTGCAGAACCAGGAACTCGTTTTTTTTTTTTCCTCCCCCCTTCGATCTCAAACTTCTGATAACCAGCCACTGGTTATCGTCCGGCCTGTCTCCACTAGATGAACGAGCTCTTTGGTACCAGGTAGTTTCCCCCCCGGGAAGTTACTTCTACACTAAGTCACCGGCCAGTTTTTGGGGTGAGTTAAACATGGGGGGGGGCCTTTGGTCAGGTTGCCAGCTAGGGCTGTATAGACTGTCACACCCAAATGCTGATTCCTCTGGGAAAGCCTTGATCTTACCAATCTCCCCCGAGCGGGGCCGCACTTTGCTAGGACCTTTTTCCCGGATACCTTCTGAGGAGCTGCTGGCCCTCAACCAGTCCTTTTCTAGCCGTGTGTCTCCAGTGCTTCTCTTCCAACTGGGAAGTCATCTTAGCTCCTGTTTAATATTTCTGAGGGTACGGCAGAGTCTCATAAACTCGAGGACCATCCATGAATGTCACTGACGTGCTGTTTAGTCTCTCAAATCCTTCCAACGTCGTTCTTTGTATTTAGCATCACTAGTTGCGCACATAAACCCAAGCCAATCTGAACAATTTGTAAGATTTGGCTACCCAAATATATTATAGTCTAGATCCAGGCTGCTAACATCCATCATTTAATCATACAGTGACTTTTTAAGAGTTGTTTTTCTTTTAAAGTTTGGTCCCTCAGTTACTTTTGAGCCGTCGTTAATTTCATTCTCCCCCTTCATGTGTTAATTAATGCGCCTACTTTAGTCTAATGCTACTTTCCCCCTTGACGAACTTTTAAATGTTCATCTTACCCCCTGTAGTTTAGCATCAGCTCATTTATGTTGGTGGTGAAAGACCAAGTTAAAACACATCATTTGACCATTTCTTTCACGACGAATTAGAAAGATCTCCAAAAATATCACGCCCAAGAATAAGGTAGAGATCGTGCAGCTTCGGTGCTGGCTCTGTATATGATGAAAACCACTTCAAGCCGGGGGGTGCTGCACCCCCAGTGCCCCTAGTTCCAGCACTGATCAGGTTTTTTAAAGGCTGTGTAGCTGACTGAAAATAGTTCTTAGCCCGAGATTCCTGGGCGGTGTCTGAAACCCAGACATTGGAGCACCAGCACATTGAACGTGACATGAATTAAAAGTGGTAGAACTGATTTTTTCCAGTGTCTACACTTAGCTAAATGGAGAAAGCAAAGCACAACCAGGCTGCAGCATAGAAAACCTGGGATCGTTCCCTGCTGTGAAGAAACAAGCCGGCCCTGCCCTCCAGAAATCAGTGCCTAAAACAAAGCGTTTGGTTAAACTCTCTCTGGCTTTGAGAGGAAAGCTTGGGCCAGCAGGGGGCGCTGTAGGAGAGCATTTGGGGGCTTCAGGCTGGCTGTGCAGGGATGGAGATCGCAGGGCTGGGCTAGCAGGGGCTGTGGGTCGGGAGCCGGAGTGCAAGCAGGGTGTACGCGGTACCGGCAAGAGATGTTTAGGGAGTACGGGGTACCGGAAAGACTTGGGGCTAGGAAGGGCTTTTGTTCTTTATAAGGCTTTCACAGCACAATGCATGTGCTGACAAACTGAAAGGTTTTGTTTAAGTGTGTTAGCGTGTGTATTGTGTTGTTAAATCGGCCAGGTGTCCTCAAGAGGGAAGCGGGGTGTGTGCATGCGGGGTGGAGGGACGGAAGGTGTTTAAACAATGGTTGTGATTCTGTTTCTCCCCATTGGTCTGAATTATCCGTGACAGACTGGAAAATGTAGCCGACCTTCATTTTCTAGGGAATTTGTAGAAAGTTTAACAGCCCCGATTGTGTTCAGTGTTAATCAGTTAGCCTGGCTAAAGGTGCAGTCACACCCGAACAGCAAAAAATTAACCTGGCCTCTTAGGCTAAACGGAGTCAGGTCAGGCTCCATCTCTGTTGTTACATAACAGAGAACAAAACTCCAGGGGGCATGGTGCTGGCACACATAGGCGCCGACTCCCTGGGTGCTCTGGGGCTGGAGCACCCATGGGGAAAAATTAGTGGGTGCTCTGCACCCACTGGCAGCCAAGCTCCCCGCCCCGCCCCACCTCATTTCCTCTCCGCACAAGTGCACCATGTCCCCCGCTCCTCCCAG